TGCCACGTGGACGGGGGCTGCCGGGCCACCGCGTCCCCCTATGTCACCCCGCACAACCCCTGTGTCCCCAGGGCATCCTGGGCTCCGGCTTCGCCCTCAAGGTGCAGGAGCAGCATCGGCAGAAGCACTTTGAGAAGAGACGGATGCCCGCGGCCAATCTCATCCAGGTAGCGCCGGCGCTCCCCAGGCAAGGGCGGTTTGCACTGCTGCCGAGCATGCCGGCATTGCAGGGATCCCAGGTTGCAGGGATCTCAGGTTGCAGAGATTCCAGGATTACATATCCCAAATTGCAAGGATCCCAGGTTGTAGGGATCCCAGAATTGCACATCCCAGGGTTGCAGGAATCCCAGAGTCGCAGGGATCCCAGGTTGCAGGGATTCCAGGATTGCAGGGATCCCAGATTGCAGGGATCCCAGGGTTGCAGGGATCCCAGGTTGAAGGTATTCCAGGATTGCACATCCCATGTTGCAGGGATCCCATTTGCAGGGATCCCATTTGCAGGAATCCCAGGTTGCAGGAATCCCAGGTTGTAGGGATCCCAGAATCGCACATCCCAGGGTTGCAGGGATCCCATGTTGCAGGAAGCATGCCGGCATTGCAGGGATCCCAGGCTGCAGGGATCCCAGGTGGCAGGGACCCCAGAGTTGCACATCCTAGGGTTGCAGGAATCTCAAGGTTGCAGGAATCCCAGGGTTGCAGGGATCCCAGGTTGTAGGGATCTCAGGGTTGCCGGAATCCCAGACTACAGGCTTCCCAGGTTGCAGGGATTCCATGATTGCACATCCTAGTTTGCAGGGATCCCAGGTTGTCTTGATTCCAGGTTGTAGGGATCCCAGAGTTGCACATCCCAGGGTTGCAGGGATCCCAGGTTGCAGGAATCCCAAGCTTGCAGGGATCCCAGATTGCAGGGATCCCAGGGTTGCAAGAATCCCAGGTTGCAGGGATCCCATGTTGCAGGGATCCCAGATTGCAAGAATCCCAGGATTGCAGGGATCCCAGGATTGCGGATCCCACGTTGCAGGGATCCCAGGGTTGCAGGAATCCCAGCTTGCAGCATCCCAGGATAGCCCAACCCACGGTTGCAGCATCCCCGTGGCCCAGGGGGTCCCACGGTGCAGGGGGTCTCTGGGGGTGGGTCCCTGACACGGGGGCTCTCACCCCAAGGCCGCCTGGCGCCTCTACTCGACGGACGCGGCCCGTGGGTACCTGACGGCCACGTGGTGCTACTACGACAGCCTGCTGCCCTCCTTCAGGTAGGCACCGCCGGCCGGGGCCGCAGGGCCTGCCCGGGGGCGCTGGGGGCTGCGAGGAGGAGGAGGATGAGCAGCCTTCCTCGTCCCGGCACGCCGGAGCCCCAGCGTGAAGGATGCCCAAACACCTGACTTCCTCCTCCGTCGTCATCATCATCATCGCCACCCCATCCATCCCGTTCCCCCCTGCCATGCCGTTATTGCTTTGTTTTAACCTTGTTTTTATTTTATTTTGCAAAAGGCAGGTTCCTAAGAGCGCGGGACACGAGCCCCTCGCGCAGCCTGCGATCGGCCTCGTTCTTAGGAAACTGCCTTTAGAAAGGGAGGATTCCATCTCTTCCCGCTCCTGGTTTTGCCCTGGTTTTGCTGTGACCCGCGCAGAGGAGGAGCCGGCTCTGCGCAGCCTTGCTTTGCTCATCCTGTTTGCTTTGGAAAGTTTAATTTCTCCATGTTTTTATTTGACCCCAACCCCAGAGAGCTGGTCCTAATCTTTGAGCATTTGCACCGAGCCCGCAACGGAGGAATTAGGAATTCAGAGGTGAAAAAATGGCCGGACGGAGCCCCACCGCCTTATCCGTCCTTCCCCTCCGGCCAGAAAAGCAGCGGCCCCGCGGCTTGGGCCGGGGAAAGGTAGGGAGCAGCCGGCCGCCGTGTCCCTGTGCTCTGTGTGTCTGCGGCGCGCGGGGCGCTGCGCTCGCTCGGCGAGGCTCAGGAAGCCTCTGGAAGGGTTCGGCTCCGCTGGGCTCTGCTTCGGGTGCAGGCAAGGCCCTGGGGGGGTTGCAGAGGTGAGCTGAGTGTGCACCAAGTGAACCGAGCGGGCAGCAAGTGTGCACAAGGCAACCTGAGTGTGAGCGAGGGGAACCGAGTGTGCACGAGGTGGTTGGAGTGTGCACAAGAAGACCTGAGCGTGCACGAGGCAAACCGACCTTGCACAAAGAAACCAAGTGTGCACGAGGTGACCTGAGCGCGCACGAGGCAAACCAAGTGTGCACGAGGTGACCTGGGCATGCACAAGAAGACCCGAGTGTGCACGACGCAACCTGAGCGTGCACGAAGCAAACCGACCTTGCACAAAGGAAACCAAGCGTGCACGAGGTGACCTGGGTGTGTGCAAGATGACCTGAGCGTGCACAAGGCAAACCAAGCGTGCACGAGGTGACCTGAGCGTGCACGAGGTGACCCGAGTGTGCACAAGGCTGAAACAAACGTGCGCTGGCCCCACTGAAGGCCCGGAGGTCACTGGGAGCCACGTGTCCGTGCGGCAGAGCGGAGCTGCAGCTGGAAAACCCTACGGCTGAGCCGGGCGGTGTGTGCAGTGCTCCGTGTGGGATGATCCCACGGGACGTTCTCCCTCGTGCTGATCCCAGCGGAGCGATGCCCTGAAGCCAGAGGAGGGTTGGAGTGCCCTGGGGGCTGCACAAGCTGCAGGAGCCCGGCCATGAGGGCGCTTCCCATGGGCAGAAGCCGATTTCCAAGGCTGGGAGCGCCGAGGAGACGAGAAGCGGCGGCTC